AGCGTCCGGACGACCGAAGGCTAGCCCCGTCCAAACGCCCGTGCCTGTCCTGCTTGCAAATGCTATCCCACATGCAACTGTTGCGCCTTCACGCCTGCTTCCGCATGCCGTATGCAACTGCTGCGCCTGCACACCCGGACCCACATGCTGATGCGCGTACGCATGCAGTTGTGCGCTCACTTCGCTTGCCGCGCACGTAGGGACTGTTGCGGTCACGGGGACCGCCTCCGCATGCGCCCGCTTCCTGCACCTACTATGTTGCAACATGAAGCACTTCTACAACATACGTCTGAAATGGGTGAAACATTTGCAAATACGCTTGCAGCATATGTGTATAACAACTGAAGCATATGCAACAACCAAATAAAACACTTGCAACGTACGTATGAAAAAATAAAACATTTTGAATAGACGCTTGCAACATATGTATATAGCCACTGAAACATATGCAACATCCAGATAAAACACTTGCAACATACGTCTAAAATAGATAAAACATTTGAAACATACATGTATAACCATTACAATATATGCAACATCCAGATTAACACATACAATATCCGGATAAAACGTATGAAACATACATATGAACCGCATGAAACATACAAAGCTTGATGCCATAGAGTATGTGCGGCCCCGAGCTCCTCTCACAAACTTCGAACGTCAGTCCTTCTCTCTGTGGTCACAGCGCATGCAACCCCCCCCCCCCCACGCGTCACATGCACCCCACGCTGAGCGAGGCACTCCGCGCCCCACACCCCAACGAGTAGCTGCACGAGCTCCGATGCGCTACCCCGCGCCGCATGCACCCCATGCCCAACGAGTAGCCACACGCGCTCTCATGTGCTGCCCCGCATGAAGAATGGTTATGGGCCTCACCTGACTGCAACCGTGCGCCACGTTTCCTTTTTTTTATCGTCACGCGCGCGTGGAGGTTGGTCCATCCGGATGGCCGGACACCCTTAACCAAGCATTACCATTATTTCTCGTTGTCGCGAAGCGTAGAAAAGCCAAAATGGAGGAGTAGTATATTTTCTAGCGAATTGGGCCGTGTGCTTCTCTCGGCTTTCGTCCCGGGCTGGGGTCACTGTTGCCATTCTCCGCCTCTCCGCACAGCCCAGGGCGGCAGGGCGTCGTTCGGGGTCAGGAAACAGGCCTGGCCTTTTTCTGGGAAGCTCTAAGCCTGCTACAGTACTTACGTACTCCAATCAGCATTGAAGTCTCTCTAAATAACCCACCCAACGCGGCAACGTGGGCTAAGTGCATGCGCCATATATAGCAACACCTATTTCAAGAGCAATATTTTTGCAAACTATAAAATCTACCCGCCCAATTAATTAGGCATGAAATGATGAGGGCTAGAATTCCCGTCTGCCGATGGGTTTAAATCCAACCATATACTCCATCTATCATGTAATATAGTGTATTCTAGAAATTTTAAGACAAATTAAGAGTGAGCATAAAATATGCATATACCCTTATTTTATTTTCTAATCAGACGTTATCATCAATGTGATTAATGATGTATCATCAACGTGATTAATGATGATTGGTTGATAAATAGAAAGTATTTAATGTAAAATAGGTTTTATCCTCTAGAATACATTATATTTAATGACAAAGTTTTGAGTGCTAGAATATACTATATCACAGGACGGAGAAAGTATAACCTAGATTGAAACAATGTTCTTTCTAGGGGCCAGTTTGGCAGCGCTTTCAACCCACTCCCACTCCCCGCTCCCCCTTTGCTCCCGTTTTGTTTGGTAGAGCTCCTCGATGGCTCCCGCTCCCAACCTGCTAGAGGAAGGGAAGGCAAGTTGTGGCCATGCAAGGAGGAGGCAAGCATAAGCGGCCTCAATCTCGGCGACGACGACGGGGTGGAACACGCGACCTCGGCGGCGGCGGAGTTAGATCTCGGCGACCTCAAAGGTGACAGACAGTATGAGACAGCCGCCAACCCGGGTGGGCGCGGAGACAAGTTCTTTCGTGGGTGGGTGTCACAATTTTGGGTTGTGAATAGAAAACACTAAATAAAATAAAGGATTTAATTTTACTAAAATTTCCTAGATTTAGTTATGTTGCTTACAATTGAATCATTGGAAATTTTGAGTTTCCTAAATTTTTGTAATTAATATAATTTTTTACTTGCATTCAGGCCTTTGCATTAATTTTTATGTGTTAAAAAAAGTGACTTTATAAATACCGTTTAAGCCCCTGAATAGGTTTTTATTATATTTATCAAAAAATATATTTAAAAAGTGTTTTGATTGAAAAATAATTAAGTTTAGTTTAAAATTTTATTTCAAACTGATTTCAAAATATTTAGAAAATTAAAAAAAACCTTTGTTCTTTTGTTTGGGGCCGAAATTCCCAGCAAACGTTTCCCTTTTAGATTTAATCGTTAACGGTCGCCTGATAGTTTGTTTTTATTGTCAGTCAACTATCTGGTATGCCTCTTTATGTGGTTGTGGCTATGGTTTGTAAGTGTCTGTGGCTGTGTTGTGGCCGTCGCCGGCACTGGGGGAGATGAAGGGGAAGCTGCCGCTGCCGCCGCGAGGGGGAAGACCCGTCGCTGCCGCCGCCGGGAGGGCCAGCCTGGCCGCCACTGCCACCAGTAGGGGAGGGGAAGGGCGTCGTGGCTAGATCCAGAGGGCGTGGTAGAGGAGGCGCCGCCGGATCTGGTCTGACGCGGGGAGGGTCGCGACCGCCGGCGATGCGAGAGGAGCCGCCGTCGCGTGGAGGAGGAGGAGCCGCCGGAGGTCGAGCGAGTGGATCTCGCCTTGTGATCCATGGATCTACCATGGCGGCGCCGTCGGGGTGGGGGAGGCCCACCATGGCCTCCGTCGGGGTAGGGAAGTTGTCTAGCTGTCGTCGGGATGGGGAAAGGTCGCGGGGTCGCTGGCCGCCGCCGATCGCGACGCGGAGAGGGGCGTCGCCGGTGGGACACGGAGAGGAGCGCCGGAGGCTACGAGGGAGGAAGACGGGGCCAGGAGCAAGAGGTTGAAGATGACTGATGCTTATGCCAAATATCAGGCAACTACCGTGGAGACACATCCTTCTCTTTTCCCCTTACCCTTTCAGCCCACCACTTCTCTCTCGTGGACCAAAGGCATGAATGCAAGTAAACAATTATATTATTTCTCAAAAAAGTAAACAATTATATTAATTACAAAAGTTTAAGAAACTCAAAATTTCCAATGATTCAATTGTAAGCAACATAACTAAATCTTGGAAAATTTAGAAAATTTATCAAATCCTTTATTTATATTCAGTGTTTTCTATTCACAACCCAAAATAGAAATTTTGGGGTGCGGCGATGGTCTGGAGACGAGCTGCCGGTGGTGGGCGTGGAGACGAGTGGCAGTGGTGGATCTGAAACGAGGGAGGCGGAGAGGGCACGAGGACACTTGACTTGACGCCTTGAGGAGACAGGGAGGCGGGTGGGGAGGCGGTGGAGAGTGGGTTTTTCTGCTCCCCCTGCGGTGCAAAATGAAGGGAGCCGGAGGTGTGCTTTCTCGGGGAGGCGGCGCGGCACAGAGGCCTTTGGCAGCGCTCCCCAGAATCTTTGGTGGAGCGGACAGGAGAAGTGCTGCCAAAGGGGCCCTAGATCTGTCTGTATCCAAATCTAGATACTCCCACGTCCAAAGTACTCTTAAGTTTGACCAACTTTATAGAAAAAAACATTAACATCTATTGCGTCGAAGAGAAAAGGTAAATTATGAGAAAAATATATTCCATGATATAATATATCTAATAATGATGCTTATTTATTTGATATCACAAATAAATTTTTTCAATAAATTTAATTAAGTTTGAATAATTTGAACAAGTGGACGGACAGACTATTGTTGATGGTTACGTGCACTTCTTTTACATCTCATGCACTGCTAGTCCCTCCTCGCTCCCACTGCTAGTCCCTCCTCGCTCCTTTATCATATCTCTAATAATGCACTTTTTAATCACCGGCAGCTTATTCTATCTTTGCGTTGCTACTGTGCCTGGCTACAAGGCGTCAGGAGAGAAGTACCAATTCTGAGCAAACGACACGAATCGCCTGCAAAAAACTAAACTACATACAGTTGAAGTCAAAAGGCACGCATACGTTAGGCTGATCGCAACTCAACTGATGCGTGCGTTTAATTGTTATCTAGATTTGATCACACGTTCTTGTGATCTTGCACTACTGGAAACTTGCTTTTTTCTGTGTGTGCGAAAACGCGTAGAAAAATACGAATACCGTCAGAAAAATGTTTTTTCTGACGGTGTACCCATAGAAGTATGACGATAGAAAAATTATATTGTTCTGTGCGTTCGCCGTCAGAAACAATTTTTCTGTGGGTGTTACACGCACAGAAAAATTGCGTTAACCCAGATTAAAGGTAAATATTGTGTGCGTTAATCCTCACAGAAAAAAGGAAAAGCCCGACAGAAAATAATTTTTCTGTGGGTGTTACACGCACAGAAAAATTGCGTTAGGCCAGGTTAAATGTAAATGTTGTGTGCGTTGAGCCGCACAGAAAAAGAAAAGCCCGACAGAAAAATGATTTTTCTGTTGGTCTTGTTTAACGCACAGAAAAATAACAGACCACCGATAGAAAAAACCCATAACCATGCAACAAATTGGATACAATAATTATATACAAAGAGAACAGTAGCAACAACATATGAAATATGAACTGTCCATACTGTAATTTTATCACAACGTAATAGATAGCATACATATAAAGATCCAAATGTTCAGCACATTCATTAATGGCATCCGGACTACATATAGATGATGTCCAAATGGTCCGGCATCGATACATTCAAAAGCAGTACCATCTCATCTCAACAGTTCAAGTCTCGGTCAAGATGAGTAAAGTACCAGCATGCATCATTGAGTCATATTATAGCTAAAACTAAAGCTAACAGATTAGAGCCACTACTAGTTAATGTGCAAAAGCACAACTCTACAAAAGAAGAAACCACCATCACATCCATGTTTTGCAACTAATCAACCATTACATTATCGATGCATGATCGCCATTGTTGTCAGAACCTTGATTGTTGTCAATATTTGCAGCATAAAGATCCCCATTGGTGTGGCCAACATCATTACCATTGTTGGCAGAATCTGAAACAGCATGAGAAGACCTAGTTGCCTGAATGTGAACAAAGTTATAGTAAGTGGAATGCAGAAAAGTGAAGGATCCACAACGCTTTCATCTTGAAATGCACAGCAAGGCAACGATCAATTCCCAACCCCTCCTATTACTCCCTGAAAGCCCAGCAAATGATGAATCCTTTACCCTTGCTCATATTCTGGAAATTAGGATTTGTGTGATAATATACCCATGTGAGCCTACAACAGTGTGCTTCCCATAATTGAATTTTGCATAGTACTAAATTGATCTATCAAAGTATATTACCATCCCACTAGAGAAGTCAATCATGCATACAAATGTCAGCCCGATGCCCCCATAGCAAAAACATCATATGACATCACTGATATGAGAATAAGCCAGAGCAACATGTCGATAATGCTTGCGATGCCTTGAAGGTTAATTACCACTTCAATACATCTCCCAAAAAAATATAATGCTCATGTGCATGTTCCAAATCAAGTAGCCAAACATCTCCTCCTTATCTAGAGGTACAAGCCAGTACCAACTGAATAATGCCAGGAACCATCTAAAGTACCAGTACCAAAAAGACAGGAGCAGCAGCCAAAAAGAGAAACAAGAGAATCAAGGTGTGAAATATTACAAACCAACATAAGGCCACTTCCTCACTGCAATAGCCATGCAAATTCACTGCAGTAGCTATACAACAATCAACATGAGGCCACTTCCTCACTGCTGCACTGTGTGTGGACATTCTGAATAGTACCCCACAAAATACTAATCAGTTTCTACTTCCTTTCCATATTAAAATCTCTAAGTGATGGATATGACAGCTACAAAACATGTTCATGGTGGAATGAAGATATACTCACAATTGCTTGCGTAGCGGACAAGTGTCGTAACGCTTCTTCTGGTACAACCCGTCCTGTCTCCTGGTAAAGGTTCTACAAGTGTATTGCAAGCACAGATATTTCAAATTTAAATCATTAGATAATTCACATATAATATTGGTGAATTATTTACAAGAGCATTGCACATACCAGTACCAAGCTTACAAGAACTTTGTTTTGTTGCAGTGCGTTGTCCTTTTCACGATTCTCTCGTTGCAGCCTTCCATTTGCACGACGTAGCTCTTCCATTTCTCGAGACATGTCTTGCATAGTCACTGAATTTGATGGACGCACACTTATTTCCCTTCCGGCTGCCCTAACATCTGAAGACTTAACCGCACCATTTGCTATGGCAAGACACCCATGCTTTCTTGGGGCACCACTAGACACATCATATAGCGCCTTTCCATTCAAATATTGTTGTTGCTCAACCTCATGCCCATCCACTTCCATGTCTGCACCGTCTCCATCCTCTTCGTTTGCACATTCTATCCTCTTAACAGCAGCAAGGTAGTCATCCTACAAAGACCAGAACAAGGAAACATGTTCTATAGATTTACAGATAGCCAAAACATGGTAACGTTGTATTCTGAAATTTCTGGACAGCAGCAAGAAAGTTACTTAAATAAATCATAACTAGAGTTCTAGATCACAGAAAAAATATGTTCTTTAATATTTTGGAAAGTTTAAGAAGTTCTCCACATCTTTCTAGTTATAACATAGACCTGATTCTTAAGTTAACAGGGTGAAAAAGCACAAAGAAGCATTGCTCATTCAATGGGGAGTAATAAGATACCAGAGGGGTGCTAAGTGCAGGTTACTGGGGCAACGGGCAGCAGGTCCAGCACTAGTTAGAAACCCAGTTCCTGAAAATTGAAGATAGCTACTGTTTGTATCTATTTGCTTGCAGGTAGCTAGCAGCATGGCAGCAGGTCTAGCACTAGTTAGAAACCCAGTTCCTGAAAATTGAAGATAGCTACTGTCTGTATCTATTTGCTTGCAGGTAGCTAGCAGCATGGCAGCAGGTCCAGCACTAGTTGCAATAGGTTCCAACCAGATCTTGAACCAGTTAGAACTCAGTTTGCACTAGTTAGAAAATATACATCTTGAAAGCTGTACAGCACAAACCAGGTTCAGAACAGGACAAGCCCAAGAGCTAAAAGAAAACCCAAAAGAACAGAATAGGCTCATTGAGCGCTGCCTTGTCACCCACCTCGCTTGCTTAGCAGCATCACTTGGTACTTTGGCAACAGCTTAATTGAGCACGGCAACAGCTTAATTGAGCACAGCATATATACAGTTCCTATTCAGCGTTCACAAAGCTGGAAGGAAAGATGATGCTTTGGTGGGATCAAGATTCAAGAGGTAAGCCAGAAAGCCACCAGCAATCTTTCAAACAGCAATTCACCAAGAGGAAAGGCACATCACCAGCAAGGCAGTTTAGTTAGCTTCTTCCAAACGTCATATATTAAAAAACGGAGGAAGTACAAAGATTAACTAGGACCACATATAGTTAGACACATGTCAGCTTAGCAAGAAAATGTACATCTTGAAAGCTGTACAGCACAAACCAGGTTCAGGACAGGACAAGCCCAAGAGTTAAAAGAAAACCCCTAAGGAACAAAATAGGCACATTGAGAACCCGGAGGCATAAAGTTGCTATGGAATCTGCCAAAATTTCCTGGGTACATTTCAATGCCAATGTCCAAATAGAACATATGGAAGTCCATCCACAAAAGATGGTTGTGTTACTAAAAAGAAGAAGATTGTGGGCAGTAGGCCACAGCAACAACCTGATTCCTATGGAATCACAAATCATGGCTAGAGCATTGTACATAGTTTGACCCAGCCTGCCTCAGGCTACCTGTTTCCTTCTTTGTTGCTGTTTTTGTTCTGTTTCTGTTGTACAGTTGGTTCTTTTTGCTTTAATAAAATCCTAACAGTGGGGCCTTCCCCTGCTGTTTTTTCGGGTAAAAAAAAAAAACAAATCATGGCTAGGAGCTAGGATATGGATGTTACTCAGGTCACCTCACCCAATGCTTCAAGCTAGACTTTTTTAGTGAGAATCAATCACAAGAACCAGATAAAGTTTCTAGATTGGCATAGACAATTCAGCCCATTTGGTTATAAGTTCTCAAGGCTTTGGTAGTGAAACAATTCATTAAACAAGAGTAGTCCCTCCTCGCTCCTTTATCATATCTCTAATAATGCACTTTTTAATCACCGGCAGCTTATTCTATCTTTGCGTTGCTACTGTGCCTGGCTACAAGGCGGTAGGAGAGAAGTACCAATTCTGAGCAAACGACACGAATCGCCTGCAAAAACTAAACTACATACAGTTGAAGTCAAAAGGCACGCATACGTTAGGCTGATCGCAACTCAACTGATGCGTGCGTTTAATTGTTATCTAGATTTGATCACACGTTCTTGTGATCTTGTCTCCTATTGTTTGACAACTGCAAATTAGCCTTCCACGTTGCACAAAAGCTACTCCCAAATCCTGATTAAATACATCTCTTTACATGTCATGCGATTTAGGCGCATACGTCGCCAGATTCTTTGAACAGGGATTAAACAAACTAAACATGTAGCAGCTGGACTTCAAAGATCTTCTGAGCACATCTCCGGCCAGCTATATGGTTACATATATAATCGTCGTGCAAATTATATATCGTTAGATATACTATAGTCCTGGAGAGCGTGTTGCTATGATTAGCTGAGCAGGATAATCTGCCTCAGATTGAACTTTCTAAATCTGGGTAAATTTTAATTACTTTTGGCTTTAGACCTACCTCGCTCGGGTTATTGTAAATGATCTTAACTAAGGTATGTTTGATCACCTCTGGATTATTAGAATATGGGTAGTGAATATAAGATTATAGTAATATCAATTATTATATATAGATTATTATAATAATTAATCTGGGTTGGATGAATCTATAGATTATTAGTTTAAGATGAGTTATAGGATTCTAGCAATATGTTGGGTTCTAGTATAATTTAGGAATTTAAGACCACTTAAGATTAATGTATCTGATTATTAAACTCTAAACGTGAGCAACAAACAAAACAGGCCCAACACACGCAGTCACCCACGGCTTCAATCTTACTGGTGCGCGCGCTGTAAATGTAATCAATCAGCACTAGCAGCTCAGCTTTGTTGGACACGTTTGTCTCTCAGCTCTGGCTCCTCTCCTCTGCTTTTTACGGAAAACAGAAAACAACTTCTCCACGAAAACGTTTGTCAGGGCTTCTCCGGAGGAGCTAGAGCTGGAGCGGAGGAGGAGCCCTGCCAAACAGACCCTAAAATTTAATATGTGTTGTGTTCTTTGGACGATTTCTCTAACCGATGTTCAGCAACACGAGTGGTTTTTACGGTCTTCGAAGTGTGTTTGCATAAAGTCTCTTTTCTTACAATAGGTGGTATGTCGTCTAGCACCAGCAAACAATAGCATTAAATTCTGAAAATCAATGAATATGTGGCCTATCGCTGAAATGAACCATTAAAAACCCAACCAGCTATGGTATGCTTAGGCCAGTCTCAGTGAAGATTTTATGTCACCGTTTCTAAGACTTCCATGTGTTTAAAACAGTGTAGATACGTTTCATCCCATAAAACTTATTTCATTTCATTAAACTTTTATAATACTTTTCATTAATACTATATCATACCGGCTTATTTAATCTTTATAAAACTCTCGCAAAACTGTACTGAGGTTTGCTCGCACTGATTGCACTCACTGATTGCCGCTTTATTTGACGGTTCATGCATGTGTAACCTGGTACAGTGCAACGTGCCGCACAGGTGTACGCCGGCGCGTGGAACGTTGACATGCATGGAGACTATATGCCCTACTATGTACAGCACATGCACGACCTGTCCTCCGCTTGCGTAAGCTCACAACGTGGTGGCCGCCGACTGATGGAACCAAACCATATATAGATGCACGTACTGTACGTCTCCGTGATGACATCCACAATTTATGTGGCCTGCTCGATAAATTTTTTATTTAAACAGAAAAAGGGCGGGCACGCACTGTTCTATGCTACGTGGCAGGTGTACGTTTGTTGGACGAAGGTCAGGTCAACAACATATCCCGACGGCCAGCGAGCGATGGCAGTGATGGCCAGCCAGGTGGCCCCTGCTGTGTTGCTGTCTCGCTCCAAAGCGGGAAATGGTCACGAGACGGAAGTGCACAAGCACTGATCGATGCTGCACATCTATCAAGCTAGCCTGATGCAAAAGTGCCGTCCTCATTTTGGAACCATGCATTCATGGTAACATTATCTGATTGTATATGCTACTAGATGCTATGGCTATGAACACGTAGAATTTACTCATCTTAAGTTCCCCAAGATTGTAGCAAAAAAGTATAAACATATACCATGTTAAGTTGGCAAATTATGAAAAATAAAATAAAATTATATTTCATAATTATCTAACAAAGATCATTTGGTATCAAAAATATTGTTGTTCCTATTAAATTTGATCAAATTGTTTGGCTTAGGATAATTGAAAACCAGCACATATATATACAAAGTTTTGGATGCAAAACTAATTTGTGTCGGAGATGTTGATGCAGAGTCTTCGATCGATCCTGGGCATGTTTGGCAAAGCAGCTAATCTCTATCTCTACACCTAAAAAGACTATCGTCATCATCTACCCGATGATACCAAATCTTATTCCTGCTAATGCATATGTGTCCAATACAAATCATCCTCAACTCCAAGCTCACACGTCTGCATCCAACCTGATTTCAATACAAAGATCAGACCCACATGTCTGTGTCTGATATGATGTCTTTGAAGCTCATGCGTCCGCATCCGATTACCGAGGTTCGGCTTAAAAAATTATGACCTCAGTACAACGCACGATGAAAGGTCCTAATAGCTATAGGGGGATGAATAGTCTATTAAAAATCCTACAACAACACTTAAGCCAAGATATTAGACAATTAAACGGTAAAGCGAATGTTGCGCTAGCCTACTAAAAATGCAAGCTTCCTATCCACAATTCTAGTTATTTAAGATCTCTATGTCACACAAGAGGCTAAGTCACTACCACTAAGTTAGTGTGCTCTCAAAGACTAACTAAAGAGCCTCACTAACCACTAGACAAGACACAAGCTAGCTCTCAAAACTAATTACACTAAAGAGCTTAGCTACACTAGGAAAATAAATGCACAAGAGAGATAGGAGGGTTATACCGTCGTGGCAAGTGATCAATCACAATATGTTAATGAATAAAAATGAAATCCTCGAAGTCAAGATCACACAATATTTTTTCACCGAGGTTCACTTACTTGCCGGCAAGCTAGTCCCCGTTGTGGCGATTCACCCACTTGAAGGTTTACGTGCTAATAGGCATTACACGCCTAACCCGCAATCGGGTCCTGCACACCCAACACAAGATGGGAATCGCACAAGCCACGAGCAATCCACTAGAGCACCTTTTGGCTCTCCACCGGAAAAAGGTCAAGAACCCATCACAATCACCACGATCGGAGCCGGACACAATCACCTTCCTCCGCTCGACGATCCTCGCTACACCAAGCCATCTAGGTGGTGGCTACCACCAAGAGAAACAAGCAAATCCCGCAGCGAAACACAATCACCAAATGCCTCTAGATGCAATCACTTAAGCAATGCACTTGGATTCACTCCCAATCTCACAACGATGATGAATCAATGATGAAGATGAGTGGAAGGGCTTTGGCTTAGCTCACCAGGTTACTATGTCAATGAAAATGTCCATGAGAATGAGCAAGAGCCGGTTACCACGTTTATATAGAGCCCCAACCGACCACATAGCCGTTAGGCTCGAAACCCCTCACTACGTGGATTTTCGGGGTGATCGGACGCGCAGATCGAAACGACCTGACGCTCGCCCCCCTACGTCCAATCACTGTATCGCTACCACGCGTCCCCTGCTTTGAACGAGAACCGTAGATCTCCAACGGTCGAAACCAGTCGCGCACATGTGTTAAGTGAAGACCGGACGCACCACGGCGTGACCGGACGCGCCGATGCAGCGTGTGGTCGCGTGCGCACCCGAGTCCCCGTGCCACCGATCGGATGCACCGCTGCACTGACATAACTCATGCCAACACAGAGTCAGATCATTTTCAGTAAGCTCCCCGAGCGCCTCTTTCACGACCTGACGCGTCCGGTCAACGATGACCGGACCCAC